GCCGCGCCGCCCCCCTCCAGGTGCCACCCCAAGCACCAGCTTGGGTGCTTGGTGCCTGGAGCCGGCCCTGACCTTGAGGTTCTTCCTTTCTGCTCCTCTCCTCCACTGAAGCAGAGATCTGACGGGAGGGAATCTATATCTCTCATCCTGATCCTCCAGTCTCAATGAAAGGGAGGCTCAGATGGGAAGGCCTCTTGAACCTAGCTCTTGCTGGTCTCTCATGCAAGAAATGGACCTCTTTTCACAAGAGGCTTCCAAATTTGTTTGGAATTGAGCCCAGGGAGCCTGAAAAATAATTAGGAAGAGAATAAGGACAAAGTAGGAGAAGGTAAGATGGTATGTCCTGCTTGTGACTAAGTGGAAGCACTTTTCTCTCAAAATGTGTAAATTAGAGAGGGGCCCAAACCAAACCCCAAGATGCAAACACCCCTGAACTTTGGGAATGTTTGGAGCTAAACTTTGCAGCTTAGTCCCATCTGAAATATAAACAGCTCTCGCTGAAAACATAACAGCTCCGTCCCAGCTACTAAAATGAAGAGCCAAAAACCAAAACCCTGTTGAGTGTGTTGGATGCCTATGTAATGTTATAAATGAAATTCAGGTTTGTTTAGACAAAGTTCATCGCTATTTACAAGGCAGGGAGTTAAGATAAAATGCATTAGGTTGAGAATTAGTTTAACAGTGAGATGCAGTAGGCAGGGGAATCATCTCCCAAAGGAAGTGATAGAAACTCTGTCACTTGCAGTATTTAAAACTAGACTGGACAAAACACTCCAGAACATACTAGACAGAACGCTCTGGCTCGAGATGGACAAGATGACATTTCCCATTAGGGAGGACCATTTTATGATTCTCTGATTTTTTAGATCAATTCTTAAAACGAAATGTCACTGTGCTTTGATGCCTGAACATGATTACCTTAAGGCGAGAACTTGCATTTATTTCGCTTCCTAAACTTGTTCTGTGTTCAGCAGATAATTAGAACCATTGAATCTCTTGATAAGGGGGAAAATATAGTAAAGCATTGTTGGAAATATATTCACAACTTACTCCAAACCTTGGTTTGTGGCTAGAGAGAGGCCAAAGCCAGAACCATTTATCCACACACATTCACAGATAAACACCACCCACACTTGGCAGTTTCGATAAATGAGCCTCAAATCTGAAATCCCTGAATTTCTAAACCAAAAGCCAAACCGGGTTGTCCAAATCAAACCCACCTGCATCCTTTCCATCTGTATTTGAAGTCGCGATGGGCCCGAGACTAAAGCCATTTGTCCACACATGAATCCTCTCCATATTTTGATGGGTTTGATTTACGAGACTAGATTCAAACCAAGCCTGGTTTTGCAGAACTCAAACCCTAAACATTCCTAGTTTTACCCATCTCTCATTTAAGCAGATATTCCAGAGTGGGAGGATTCGGTCTTGCAAGGCGGAGTCGGGGGAAATCTCATTTTTACAAATAGAAGAATTTTTTTTATTCACAAAAATTAGAACAGATTTTAACTTCAAAATATTTTCTCCTTCCACTGCCCCACTGTCTCCTCCCTACAGTGTGGTACAAAACCCAGGCAAAGCTCAGACCCTTATAAACTACATTTACCCAAAGAAAACAAGTTATAACCTGCCAAAATCTACCTTGACTGTCTGGACCTATCCAAGACTTTGGTGGGCCAGAGGAGGTGCGAACAGTCTCTCTCAGTTGGAGGTCTCCCCAAGAAGAAGCCATGAGTTGATTCACTATAACACCCAGTGCAAATGCTTCAGTTAGCTTTAATGATGCACGTTACATATTCTGAGCCAGCTGATTTAAATCGGTATAGTTCTATCAATCTCAATGGAGCCATGAAGAGTTACACCGGCTGAGGATCTGGTCCTTTGAGACAGAGTGAGACCCTTGTCTGCTAGGGGATTAAAGTAGTTAAAAGCTTACTCCCTAAAGCCACAGAAAGGATCAATATGATCTAAATCAGTCTTTTGCCATGTTAAATGCCATCTGATCAGAAACAGGAATGGCTCACTGCTGTTCTGATACTAGAGGGATAGATTAGTGCACAAACAGCAGCTATAATTAATTTTTTCATTGTCTCTTTAGCTGAAGGGGAAAGACATTGAAGATGCCATTAAAAGTGAAACATCTGGAGATTTGGAGAAGGCCTTTCTCACTCTTGGTAAAAGAAAGAAAGTCTATAGCTTTTCTCTCTAGTTTTCATCCTCACTTGACTTTAGCCATTGGGGTTCTTATGTGTATAAACACAGTGATAATCTGCTTTATTAGAACTAGGTTGAGACATGGCAAGACCACTGGGGGACAGAACCAATTAACTTGTTGACTTGCCCTACGTGCCTGTGGGGAGTAAGAACCTCCATTAAGCCCCAGCATGGGCTATCTAGCTCTTAGGTCTCAGAGCATAGAAGTAAGCCAACGTCATCCCACTCAGGAGTAAGTTGCCAGGGAGCGGAATTCCAGACGGGCCAAAAGAACAAAAACCATGTCCCCATACAATTAGTTTTCATTCTGGAACATAAACATCAACATTTTCAACCCTTCTGTGCTTGCATTAACATGTTTAGTCAAGTTTGATATTCACAGTTATATAACATGCTCTCTCTGTAGGGGAATGCATTCACTTTTAGGCTTCAGTCTGTCACCTGTCATGATTGGGTTGACCCTTGCATCTCCACAGAGCCAGTTGCAGGACTAAGGCTCTACAACAATGCATGTCCAGTTGGGTACAGACATTGGGGATGTCTAGGTTTCCGTTAAGAGGGCTGCTGTTCTCCTCCTACTGAAGCTGCAGTGTGGAATATGAAATGTACAAGGCTTATGAGGTCCCTTCACGTTTCTTCTTTAGTGAGATGTGCCAGAGATTGCCAAGGCTACTTTGCCACCCGTCTGTATGAGGCAATGAAGGGCGCAGGGACAGAGGAGGAGACTTTGATTCGCATCCTCGTGACTCGGGCTGAGGTAAGATATGCTGGGATCTGAGAGGCCCCAAACCTTCTGGTGGATAAGTGTGAAATTTAGAAGGAATGAATTACAGTAGTAGGGCCAGATTCTGCGCTCAGTCAATCTGTTTTGCAATTTTAATTCAACAAAGCTCCATGGACTTCAGTGCTATTACTATTTTTACTCCCATGAAACTGAGAACAGACTCTAGCCTTGATACCGAATCTATTTATTTTTTTAAAAGAACGATGCATGAGACACATTAGTAATTGCACAATGGAGCTAAACACATCTAGATTAAAGTTGGCCACCATTATTCTACTGGGAGATGAGTCGTTTGGTCCCAAAGAGCTTTGTTAAAAAAAATCCTCATTAAATAACAAAGAAGCAGTTCCTAAAGTATGGTCAGTGGAGAGCTAGGGAGTCACATGGTGCAGGCTCTGTCTTTTTCCAGATGGGAAAAACAGGGCAGAGGAGAAGGAGAGAAGAAGATAAGAGCCAAAGCGGACTATGATTAAAGTCTTTTCACAAAGCACAAAACAGCTCAAGACATTTCAGCTCCATAAACACTGTCTTAACATCACTCTTGTATGTAAGCTGTTGTCACCACTGGGATGTTACGTGGTCATGGATAGAAAGGGAAGCGGTTCATGTGATGGTGAGGTGAAGTGATTATCCATATGATTGAAGTGGTGGAGCTGGAAATTAGTCTCCAAGACACTCTCCCTGTTAAGTTGTGGCCTGACTATGAAAACATTTGAGAACCTCTGTAATAAAGATATGACCCATATCATTGATGCCATCTTTTATAGAATAACATAACATCTAGTTCTCTGTACTTAGCAACCAGAAAGCTATGTATGACCCGAAAACTATTTATTTTTTTAATTCTATTCCTGGAAATTTCTCCCCCACTCCTTACCACCCGTGAGTGTCTTCCAGAGCAGACAGTAAATTGAGCCACTCTGTCAGGGCAGCAGTCAGGATATCAAGTTTGAGCTAAAAGTTCTCCAAGGTTTTGAACCTACTCCTTCCCCATCAAGGCCCTGGATCAAATCTGATTAAAATCAATGGGAATCTTCCCACTGACTGCAGTGGGCTTTTTGGATCAGGACCTAGAAGTGTGAGGTATTATGCAAAACAGATCCACGCTTCTAAAAATTCTTTCCATTTCCCATCAGATTGACCTTCAAACAATAAAGGAGAAGTTCCAGAAAATGTACAACAAGTCCTTAGCGGAGGCCATCAAATCAGACACCTCTGGGGACTTCAGAAAGCTGCTAGTGGCACTGCTACACTAAGACTGCTGTCACAAAGGGAGAGACATGAGAAGAAGCCACCTTCTTGACCAGCTTCCAAGTAGCATGCAAAAAATGTGGCACTAGCAATAAAAAAAAACAACAACCAAAAAAAACAGTTTATTTTCTTTACAGCGGGGGAACATGTTACCAGGTAACCCTTGTGTTACCTGGGTGTGAGGTTCAGGCCAAGCTTATCACACCAAATGTTCTCATGCAATAAAAATGTTTTAAAAAACTAAATCTAAACTGGCCTGTCTTCCCATTTGTAACAGAAAGAGGGATTTCTAGAATCTTGTCACCGTCTCCCCCAGGGTGTCTCTAGAGAATTTCAAAGACAATCCTCCTTCTTCCTCTGCTCCTATAACCCACATCCTAAGCACTCCATATCATGCCATCACACTTTCTGCCAAAATGGACTGAATAGTGCTCCCTTCTGAGCCCATCATCACAGCTTCTTAAATGCCAGAGAGCTGCCAATGAATGATGCGCATCAGCCGCTGCTCTCAATCCAAAGGGAAGGTGGGCGTGATTTCCCTGTCTGAGCCATGTCTCCCATCAGCATCGTCTGCTAAATTATCCCACAAAAGGGCCAGAGAACTGCAGTCCCTGGGCTGAGGGGAGGGCAGGGACTGTACCCTCTGCGCTACCCCCTGGAACCTAGCACAGCAGAGTGGGTGGGGAAGAGGTGGACCCCGGCCCTGCTCTGCCTTGTATTGCCCATGAAGTGGGACTGGCCTGCAAGGGGGAGTATACTGTACCACATAGAAATGAGCATGCTCCCCATGAGAGTTGAGAGGTTCCCCTACTGGAGCTGGACAGCTCTGCACCACCCCCGATGCAGGAGTATGCCCTAAACAAATGACTGAGCCTTAGATTAGACCCGATGCGGCAGGGAGAGTACAGGGGAGAGTCTGGGAATCCAAGGGATAAGAGTGGCTGATCAGGAAACAGGCTTAAGGGATTTTGTGCATCTTGGTCATGCCTTTTTATTATAATGTACTAACTTCTGAGGACAGTGGAACAAAATCTCGCTCTCTCGATATAAATATCATATTCCCAGCAATGGTGTCTGGGCAGCTAGTACAGTACTTAGGCAAGAGCAAGGTCCGTTGGGGATGACTAATTGAAAGGAGGGAGGTGTTTCCAAGGAGCAACGTGAGGCTGCATAGTGCGCAGGGCAGGGAGGATGTGCCAGTCACAGGAACATTTAGCAGCTCTAATACTCGGCCAATTTTTCCAATAGAATTTTTTTTTTTATTTGGAGGCAAATTCCTAATCTGAAATCAACCTCAGGCTTCTGTATCCAGCAACTCTCAGAATTGAGAAAGAAAGAGCACAGCAGAGCAGGAGACACGTATCTTAGGCTTGCAGTTGCCTTAGTTCTGTTGTAAGCAGAGCCCTTAGAAAGAAATTAATAATTACTTAGGTGTCCAGTGCTCCCAGAGATCTTTTATCATTCAGAGGTCACATTGCACATCCGATCCACTAAGATCCATGCAGGCAACACTATTTGGATGATACGGTTTTGTCAAGAGTATAGCAGGCTTCCAATATGAGCATGAAGGAGTTCCGGGGGAGGATGAAGCACCTATGCTAAAATGTTCAGACTTGGGTGCTTACAGTTACTCACAGGTTCCAGCAGGATCTGGGGATGCTCAGCACTTCTTAAATCAAGTTACTTATTTAGGTGCCTAAATATGAATTTTAAGTGCCTAATTTTAGGCAGCCAAATTTGCTTTGGCCTGAAGACTGTTTCAATTAAGACTAATAGGTCTTTCTTAGAAAACAAGAAAATGCATGATAGCTTCTCTCTTAGCCCCTCGCCTTCTGATTAGAGAGACTGGCCTGAACCAAAATCCAGGAGCCAAACTCCAGAGACAAACTTCTTGGGCCAAATTCTTCAGTTATACAAGTGCAAGGGCAGCAGTGAAGCCCAGGAAGTTACATCTGTGTGAATCCAGGTTAACAGAGCAAAATTTGGCCTCGGATCTCTATAATGGGTCAATACCCAGGCTTCAAACTCTCACATACTCAGGCGCTCAATATTCAGATCCAAACCTAAATGTTCCAGGTTTCAGAGGTGTTCAAATTTGGCCCATTACACAACCTGCAAACTCAGAACCAAACCAAGATCCAGATCTGAGGTTTGGATTCAGTCCCAACTCTACTTCTAACAAGTGAAAGCAGGCTCTGTGTTGTACATGAATACAAACCGTAGCTGTAGAGTTAGGCTGCTATAAAGAATCAGTTATATAGCAAATGAGTAACGCAGTAGTGAGATGGGATATACAAGAGGTGAGGGGATGGTGTTTCAGTGCTCAGCAGAATCGGATTATAAGGATAGCTGAACCAGCATAACAGGAGGAATGCAAGATTGCTAGCAACAAGAAGAGAGATTGGGTATAGCAAGACTTGGGTTTGAGGACAAGGGGCAGCAGGTTCAGAACAATTTGGCAAGAGACCAAAGAGATATTCTTCTGGAAAGGATAAAAGTGTTGTATTTGTCCATGTCACACCGACCTTTGCGACAGCCTTGGTATTGCACAGCCCTATCTGAAGCAAAATGAAGAGCTTTGTCCAACTCTCACATGTGACTGTCCTCCTGCTCCCATGTAGTCATGATGAGTTCCACTTGCCTGTGACATTCTTCCAGGGACTGTAAAATGGGGTAATAGCACTTTGCTATCTCACACGAGTGTTGTGACTAGATTGTGAGGTGCCAAGGCACTGCGGTACCGAAGGACATATAAGCACCAGAGATAGAAAACTGTGGGGGGTTTTTTTTTTTCTAAAATGCTTCATGAAAAATTATTTCTATATTTTCCTAACAGGAAACCCCAATCCAAGCAATTGCTGCTAGTTCAGTTACAGGCTCTGCTCTGTGTCCTTTCAAGCTGAAACAGCTATGACTACAATATAATTCAAGCAAACTCGCTGGCAACCATCCGGCTGAGGCACATAGCACTCTGAGGTGCACTGTTGGTGGGAGAATCATCTCTGAAACTGTAACCTCCCTTCATGGGAAGGGAAAAGGTAATCAAAGACAGGAATCTTCATTTCCCCAGAGTCATGGCCAGAATTAGCAGAAATCCTTTGTGAGGAACTAGCACTGTGCCCCAATCAAACAGAGCAATAGGTTATTTAAACTATACAGGCCAGATTCCGAGGTCAGAGAGATCTTGCATAAGTAAAGACCTCAAGATTTGATCCTATAAATGTTTTTCAAACATACACCAGTATCCAAAAGCGAAGGAACAGCAAAAATCCCACCCATCCCCACCCCATAAAACCTCAACATAAGTAAAGTCCACCCAGGGTTGAATGGCTGTGAGAGTTTCTTTAAGGGTTAAAAAACAAATCCTCAGCCATTGCCAGGAAACGGCCAGAAAAACTAAACAAGCAAACAAACCCTAAAGAGCTAGTGCTAGTGCTGAGACACACCAAGCCAAAGCAATCAGCAGAAAGAACCACCGGAGCAGAAATAACACAGACACACACAGCTGCTTTTTGGCTGATCTTCTCGGGTTTGGTGGCTTTCATTTGGGCAGTTAACGTTCCCTGGATGTGGAGCAGAACCTTTCATTTTGGTTTTTGAAGTGCACTGTAAATATTTAGGGCATGATCATGGCCAGCCCTGTAGGCGGCGATATGGGAGGCAGTAATGCACCTTCCCCCAGCCCACCTTGCATGGCCCACATTACCATGCTTATGCTCCCAGGAGTGCATGGGCTACTAATTATGGTGCTTAGAAGCAACTCACCTGAAAGTGGGCGGGGGGAGGGGAGGAGAGAGAGAAAGGAGTAGACAGGGCTTTTGTTCTACCTACTCCCCCCATCTACATTGGCCAAAGGATTTGCTGGTTGGCTGCATAAAATGGGATTATTTAAAAGGGGTGTCACAGACTATGCTCCTCTCTGTGTAACCAGGGAGCTTCAGGATGCTTCCCCAGCTCCGCACTGCCCCAGGACAGGGCTGTGCCTTGAGGGCACCATCTAGCCCTCAGTTACTTTAGCATGGTTTTATTCTTCGTGCGCCAATATATATTTATGACTGTACAGACGCCCCCCAACTTACGCAATCGTTCCGTTCTGGAAAGCCTTGCGCGACTCGAATTTTACGTAAGTCGGAAACGTATACTCATACGTTACGCAAAAATTTCCGCAACTCGAAAACCCTATTTCTGGCTTATGGAACTTTTTCCGTAAGTGCGAATTTGCATAAGTCGGATCTTGCGTAACCCGGGGAGTGTCTGTATCTGAAATTTTCACTCCATGCATCTGAAGAAGTGGGTTTTTTACCCGCAAAAGCTTATGCCCAAATAAATCTGTTAGTCTTTAAGGTGCCACCAGACTCCTCATTGTTTTTGTGGATACAGACTAAGACGGCTACCCCCTAATACTTAGAAAATGGGCAGTTTGCTACAATGGGAGCATTAGCGTGAAATACCAGTGCTACCAGCTTCTCCCCCACTCAGTCCCAAATCTCAGCAGATAGATTAGAAGGACTTCCCCCGATTCCTTAAAATGAAAATATTGTCCCCTCAGACACTCCTGATACCCGTTTTCCCCTCCCTCAAGATGAAAGTGCATGACAGTGCATACCTAGTGCTAGGCATTTAAGACTGTTTACAGGCTTCTAGAATTCCCAGACACTTCAGGACAGGGCCTTCTGGCTGTTTCCAAATGGACAGCCAGGACTTTTATAAGTGTACCTTGGTTTCAGAGTCTATTTGTTATATGTAAACACTTGCCAGAAAAACACCCCTTGGGCATGCTCAGTAATGTTCAGCTCCTTGCAAAAGGCAAGGGGAAAGTCACATGTGATAACAGTGAGAAGTCCATATGTGACTATTCTTAGCCCTGGAATGTATACAACGCCTCATTGCCTGGTGGTTCTTTCACAAAGCTCCAGAAAGCAGCGAAAGTGCCTTCAGAATAAACAAATCCAGAAATGACCCTCTATGAATCACTTACCAACAGAAAGAAACAACTTGAGGGTATATAGTTTTTGCTCATGTACTAGCTATGGAAAATCTCAGCAGAGACTAAAGGACACCAAGTGAGTGAATGCAGTGAAGGACAACATAAGGTAAACATTTCTACCATGTGATTTCACTGCAGATTGAACAGTCAGATTGTCACGAAGATAGATAGCCATCTTATTGTTCTGCCTGGTACATTGTTTAGTCGTGTGTCTGATTAATATAAAAAACAACAACAACTAAGCAGAGTTAATAAATAACCATTTTAATGCAGATTCCCAGTCTCTAGAGTTTAGTTTGTCCTGTTGCAGAGTTTAGCTCTGCCAGATTTACATTCTTCAGTAATGACTAACTCTAAAGGAAAGAGACATAAGTTACTAAATTGCGAATACTTTAAAAATAGCAAAGAAAAGGCTGAGCACATTTATTAGACATGTTTAAAATGAACATACAATTTGCTTAGGGCTTTTCCCTTTAGCCACAAGTCAGCAAGATAATTTTAGTGTTTATGCTGTGTGTCAGGCTCATAGAAGATGCCGACCTCACATCCGATACCTTTAAAAAACAAACAAACAGATGCTGAATGACCTCGTGGCTTGTATACTCCCTTCCCACTGCACTTAACCAGTGTTCTTATTTCTGTGCGCAAACAGAGAGAGAATATTTAGAGTAACCATCAAAGTTCTGATCCCTGGCCCCTTTGGAGCTGGGCATTTAAATAAAAGCTGCTAAGAATTTGTCTTCCCTGCCAAGCCCAATATTCTTCTCTCTCACATTTCGCTATGGAGGAAGAATCTGCAAAGGACCTTCTCTTCAAAGACCAGGACTTCTCCTCCGAACTACTGAGGCAGCTCAACGTTTTAAGGCAAAACGGGATGTTGACTGATGTTATTCTCTGCACTAGCGAGTTTGAAATCCCTTGCCACAGGAATGTGCTGGCTGCAAGCAGTCCTTACTTCAAGGCAATGTTCTGTAACAACTTTAAAGAGAGTTGCCAGGCAAAAGTTGACTTGAAAGGCATTGACTCCAATATTTTGTATCAGATTGTCCTTTATGTTTACACAGGAGAGATTCTTATAACAGCCGAGAACGTCTTGTACCTAATGGAGGCCACTTCCATGTTACAGTACATTAAATTGTTCCAGGCCTGCTCTTTGTACCTCCAGGACCAGCTGACTCCTGAGAATTGCCTGAGCATGATAAGGCTCTCTGAAATCTTGAACTGCCAGAATCTCAATAAGAAAGCCAAGGAGATGGCTCTGAAATATTTTCCTGAAGTAGCCTCTTCTGAAGACCTGAAGGAGCTTTGTGCATTGGAGTTGATCAATTACCTTGGGGACGATGAGCTCTGTGGTGAGGAAGAACAAGTGTTTGAGACACTCATGGTCTGGATCCGGCACGATCTCCAGGCGCGACAGGGCTATATCCAAGATTTGTTCAAGAAGGTCCGGCTTCAATACGTCCACCCAACCTTCCTTTTCCACTTCATTGCCAATGACTCCCTCATTCAGTCTTCACCCGCTTGTAGAAGCATCCTGGAATCAGCTAGGAGACAGATGTTTTCATTATACAGCACCAGCGCTCCTGACATCAAACCCATGTGGCACGTTCCCCGCAGATATTCGTACCAAGAGTTCCTCATAATCATTGGTGGCAGAAAGGACAACCAGACGACAACCAGGGACGTCCTCCTATATGATGAGAAGACCAACCAGTGGCTGAGCCTCGCCAAGCATCCTGTGCGCCTTTACAAAGCCTCTGCAGTGAGCTTGCATAGCAATATCTATGTGCTAGGAGGGATGCCCGTTAGCTGTGAGAAAAGTCCAGTCAGTGATAATGTTTATATTTTCTCCCTCAAGCTAAATCAGTGGAGGTTAGTTGAACCCATGCTGGTTCCACGCTATTCTCACAGGAGCATAGCCTATAAGAACTACATTTTCTCAATTGGAGGAATTGGAGAGAACCAGGAAATTCTGAATTCCATGGAGAGGTACGACAGCATTTATAACATCTGGGAGAACATGGCAAACATGCCCATTGCTGTCCTTCACCCTGCCGTTGCAGCTAAAGACCAAAGAATTTATCTCTTTGGAGGGGAAGACATTATGCAAAACCCTGTCCGTCTAATACAGGTAAATTGTCACTCCTGCTCATCTTATGTGCATTTCCTCCAGGGTATTCAGTACTGACACCCAAGCCCAGCTGGTGAAATCAAAGCCCAATATAGAACTGAATTTGCAATGAGTCTTATGCAGTAGAAGGCAAGATACACATGCTAAGTTGGAAATGCTCATTCAGGGAAGTCCAGTATGTAGGAAATGATGTTTAAATACTTTTATATTTCCACAAGAAGCCTTTATTATTGTTAAGTCCCAAACCCTGAGGCCCTTCTGAGGTTTTACTCAGTCCTTTCTCAGGCAGTTTCCCATTGGTTTCAATGAGAGTTTGCCTGATTGAGTAAAACTGAGTAAAGATCTCAGGGTCAGCTCTATGTGATTTTAGTGCTTGTGAAAGGTGTCATTTTGACAGTCTTGCAAACTGATGCCTACTCAGGCCCTGACTCCATGAACTTAACCACATGGCTAACTTTATATGGGAGTATTTCCATTGAAGTCAGTGCTCACTATTAGGCGGGTGCTTAAGTTCCTGGCTGAATCTGGGTCTCAGTCTTTTGTCTCTCCTCAGACAGTATCAGCAAAGACACCAGTTGTGATGGCGGTTACTGTGATATCGATTCCTATTCACTAGGACCAGGACTGGAACTGCCATTTCATCTCACACAAGCCAATGGTTCCCAATGGCCCATGCACTCCCTACTGAGGGGTTGTAGGGTTCTAGTTGGTCACTTGACACTGGCTCTCCACCTCCCTGCCAGATGTAAAACTGTTTTAAAAGGAGGCAAAAATACATTAAATACTTTCATATTTAATGTGTTAGTCATGTGTTAATATTGCTTTTCCTGGCAAGGGTAACCGACTGGTCAGTGTGTTTCTTGTGTCCCCCGATGTGCCCAGTCCACAGAGGATATGAGTCTGTTACAGCTCTCAGAGCGAGCCTAGCTGTTTAGCTCAAGCTGAAAAGACTTATGCTTTTAATTCTGCAGGTCCCTGGTTCAACCCATAGTGTCAACGAAGGTGGTAGAGGTTGCCTCGTGAGGGCTTGTCCAAGATTTAAACCATCATGGACCTCAGATGCTCAGAGGATGAGATTCCTCTACTCAGAGGAAGCATGTATCCCATGCTATGTGTCCCTCTCAGATCCTCTGTGGGTCAAGCACAGAGTCTGTTACAGCTCTAAGCTACAGATCCTGTTTTTTTAACTATGGAAGTCCCTGGTTCAATCGCTGTTGACCAAGATGGCAGCATCACATAATCAACTCTGTACTTCCCACAGCTACGTAATTCAGTTGTCAGTCGAAGTTAGGTGCAGAGGTGCAGGTGGGGCGATGTCCCCGAGACAATCACTTAGTAGATGTGGTTGACACATTTGACCCTCCAAACTAACAACAAGAGCCACATTTGAACTGTTAACACAGAGATGAATTAGTCATGTTGGATGAAGGTTCACTTACTGAGCAGATGGGTCTAACAAATATTTATTAAGGCAAAACTCAGTGAATAGTGATCAATTACTCACAAGTGGGAAACTTATCAGAATGATCTCATCACAGTTGCCTCCAACACTGGACAATACAACTTCAACCTCCCTTTGTTAAACAAATTTATTTATAACTTTGTTATATTTTCTTATACATATGTATTAGTTTCTCATTTTCATGTTAACTCTCCTCCCCTATCAGTACAGATTCAAACTGTTAGTTCAAACCAGTTTGTTCTAGTTTTTTAGTTACGTTAGTTTTTTCTTGTTTTTGCCAGCATGAATGCTCTGTGCTTTCTTATACATACACAGTTCTACTTATGCTTATGCTGTTACGTGTTATCAGAACAGACTCTTAAAATCCACAGCAGGCTTCTGTCAGGCCTAAACGTGCCTCGCTCCCAACAGGTCAAGGTTTCCATTATCAATTCTCTGTGCTAACCTGGCCCACACCAATCAGCAACATGAATACAATGGCTGGGTCAATAGGATGACTGTCATCAGAACTATGTAAAATTAGGACTCTTTTTTTTCCAGAGGGGACAGATTAGCAAATAATTTGTGGGGAAATTTTCTCCATTTTTCAACAACCCAATGCAATAGATGTTTGTTGGTTCATTAACATGCACAAAAACTAAGTAAGTAGCCATTTCTGTAGGTGTGATTGCCTGCTGAAATGCTGCGTACTTTACAGTGTGTATCTTTATGTACTTTTCAGGTTTACCACATATCCAGGAACATGTGGTTTAGAATGGAGACCAGAATGGTGAAGAATGTTTGTGCACCAGCAGTGGTGATTGGAGACCGGATTATCATTGTTGGAGGTAAGCAGTCTAGGTCATGCATGTCAGCTGCATAAGACTAACTCCCATGGAATTTGACATACTTACTTATCAACGGTTTCTTTACATCTTTAATACATTCTGAGGCAACCAACTTGCTGAGGCAATTTCTTTTATGTGAAGGGATAGTAAAATGAGGCAATGTTGTCACGTACCTTTGCAGCCCACACGGGATGAAAGGGGACAAACAGTACCCCCTACTTCCCATGTGCAGGCTACTACACCATTGGTCACAGCAGGCTTGCCGGCTGCTACCATCTCCCCTCCCAGATGGGAGGTCAGCAGGCAGAGAGAGGTAGCTAATGGCCAGAGCCTGAACTCTAACCTCCCCCCACCCAAAAGAGAAAGCCAGCCTGTGGGGGAAGTAATCTACATCTGGTAAAGGGCTAATGCAGATTAATTCTCTTCTAGAGTAAGGAGGGAACCAGCACAGGAACTGGATATGAGAGCATCACAGTTCCTTCCCAGTTTTGGTCCTGAGGTGATGCAGCTGTGTGCTACTTCTCAGGGGGAAGTGACACTTCAGCTCCATGGTGTTTTACAGAAACAAAAACTGATTTTGCCACACTTGCTCTTGTTGAGTAGCAGCACTGCACTACACTCCATGGGTTTCAGTGGGACTGCTTGTGGAGCAGCGTGCTATTCATGTGTACAGTAAGGGCTTGTCTACACGGGAACAGCCAAGAAAATCCGATTTAACTAAATGTGTGAATTTAAAGTGGTTTAGTTAAACTGCATTAAAACCCTGCATGAACACCCTCATTCAGAATTAAAGTGGCCTTGATTCAGTTTAGCTTAATTCACTGTAAACTAAACCAAATTAAGGCCAGTTTAATTCTGAATGAGGGTATTCACCAGGGTTTTAATGCATATTAATTAATTCACTTTAAATTCACACATTTAGTTAATTCAGATTAACATTCCAGGATCTCCCCTGTAGGCAAGCTCTATGACTATTTTACCAGTCGAGGAATACCAGTATACTAGTGCTCCTACTATGGCACAGCTATACTAGCAAAGTTGCACTCTGTACCAATAGAGTAAAACCAGCCACCATGAGCGAAATAAGGTATAGCTGTACAAATGCAGTTTTGCCAGTATAACTGCATCTATTCTAAGAGCTTCTGCCAGCTCAGCTACACCAGTCACAAATCACACCCCTCACCCACACAGAGAAGATTAAGGGGTGACTTTATCACAGTTTATAAGTACCTACCCGGGGAACAAATATTTGATGATGGGCTCTTCAGTTTGGCAGAGAAACATAGAACACAATCCAACGAATGGAAGTTGAAGCTCGACCGGTTCAGACGGGGAATAAGGTACACAGCGAGAGTAATTAACCATTGGAACAATATACCAATGATGGATTCTCCATCACTGACCATTTTAAAATCAAGATTGGATGCTTTTCTAAAAGGTCTGCTCTAGGAATTATGTTGGGGACAGTCTATGGCCTGTGTTATATAGCTCAGACTAGATGAACACACTTGGTCCTTTCTGACCTTGGAATCTATGAATAGCTATGCCAGCAGAAGTTTGTAGGGTAAGCATGGCCTAACTGACTTACCCAAGATCAAACAGGAAGTTTGGCATGGAGCAGGAATTTGAACCAAGGACTTCCAAGTCCCATATTGGCACCCTAACCACTAGACCAGCCTTCCCTTCCTTGAAGCTATTGGACTATTCACAGAGAAAGCTACTACTCAAAGGAGGGGGAAGACTCCTGAGCCTGAGTAAACCCTTCAGGATTAGGTCCCAAGGATAGCAGGGGAAGCAAAGTATTCTGATATCAGACCACAGCAAAGAAGTAGGTAAAAAGGATTTTCAACTCTTACCTTCAAATGTATTTATCTGATGCGCTTGTGTGGACCCAAGTATTCTGCTGATGAGCTGAAGGCCTAAACTGTGTTTAAAAATTATTTATTTAACAAAAAACACAAAAATCCAAGTTAACGTTAAACATATTCCATTCTCCTTTAAAGCAGAGAGATTTATGGCAGATAAGTTGTCATTTACCAGCAATTACGCCAAATGATTGGCCAAATTTTTCTGGTTTAGCAACAGCTGAAATTACAAAACATAATACTGTTTTTTTAAAAACAGCATTCACCACATTTCAAGGTTTCCTTGCAAAACAACTCAGAATGAAAGAAGGGAGAACATGCTGGCTGAACAACAAGAGTCTTGGGGCTTGTCTACATGGCATGTTAGTCCTCACTAGAGCAGGGCCGGCTCCAGGCACCAGGCAACCAAGCTGGTGCTTGGGGCAGCACCTGGAGGGGGGCGGAGCGGCGCTCCGGCCGCCGGGGAGAGCGGGGCCACAGCCGGGCTCGCCGCCCTGCCCCCGGCGCTCTGGCCGCCGGGGGGAGAGCTGAGCCCCAGCCAGGGCTCGCCGCCCTGCCCCCGGCGCTCTGGCTGCCGGGCGGGGGAGAGCCGAGCCCCCGCAGGGGCTCGCTGCCCTGCCCCCGGCGCTCTGGCCGCCGGGGGGAGAGCCGAGCCCCCGCCGGGGCTCGCCGCCCTCCTCCCAGGGCTCTGGCCGCCCTCCCCTCGCCGCCCTCCCCCCGGGGCTCCGGCCGCCCCCCCCCCCGGGGGGGGGGGGGGGCGGCAGGAGGCTTTTTTGCCTGGGGCGGCAAAAAAGCCAGAGCCGGCCCTGCACTAGAGGGATATAAATTTTTGTGCGCACGAGCGTGTTGTGTGGTAATTGGCCTGTGTGGAACCTGCTGGCATGCACTAAAAATCCCCTGCTGCATGTTACTACAGTGCTGTTTGAAACAGTATTTCATTAACATGCACTAGAGAACTTTTCATATGTGCCAGCAAGGGCCACACAGCCCTAGTAGTGTGCAACATGCTAGGGCACACTAGAATTTACATCTCTCTAGCATAGACTAGTGCACCTCATGGACAAGCCCCGTTTTTAGTTAGAAACCTACATTTTTCCCTTGCCCACCACTTTTAAGTTCTTTTTGCAGTATCTACTAGTGGGCCCTGGATCAGGCTTTGAGACAGAATTAGGGTTAGGCTTCAGGTTCTGATCCGATAGGGCCAAAAGCTCATGAGACCAGCTCCAAATATCTGGAAACTTGTGAGATGAGCTGCTCTCACAAAATCTGGCCACATTGAGCTGGAACTGGAAAACAGATTTCTTTCAGTGCTGGATCCGACCCCAAACCGAAGCTGCTAGAAGTGCAGTCAGATCCAGGGATCCGAGTTGGAATACAATCCCCACACCGCCCCCAAAATTCCAAAGTGCTCATACCTGAGCCGCTGGTTTGGGGCTCTCTCTAAATTTTGTGTAACACTAAAGGCAATTAGACAAAGCTGTCAGATAAAGATTTTAGGACTTTTCATCACTTCAGAAGAGAAACAATAAAGAGAGATTCCATGTGAACATGCACCTTTGGGGCCAAATTCTACCCCTTAAGACACTGACATAGATGGCTTGCATTGATTGAGCTGAAGTTCTGACTTAAATTAAGGGGATCCCTTTCACATATGAAACAGAGAACAGAACTAGGCCCTTAAAGGGAATTCTCAATACCTGACTCAATGGCCAGTCCTTGAATGCTCCCAGCCATGAGGAAGCCTGAGATGATGATGCTCAAATGCCAATAGAGGACTGTAAATAGAGGTCACAATGGGTAAGCCAGAGGAGAAAACTGGGAAGAGGAATAAAACTCACTGCTCTTTCATGTGATGCTGCTCATGCAGTATTTAGCTTCTTTTATAATTCAGGCCAAGGATTTTTTTCTTTCCAAAGCCAGCTGCCATGTTAGTGATAAACTAACTACTGTCCATGGGAAGAAAAGAAGAAAAAAAAATGACACCCTCTCTGTTTGAAAGGGACTGGGAAGCTGTAGGCCCCCTCAGAACTAACCTACCCACATTCTGGAAACCATACTGACAAGGAGTTCCAGAGACATTGGCCAGCAGGGGGATCCCCCAACAGTACTGCTCTATCGCCAGGAAGGTGGACATGGGGCGGGAGGGGGAGCATCTCTGACAGAACAGATGCCTGGGCTCCAGCAGATCCCCTGAGATCCATACAGGCTAAAGGGACCTACAGATTTAGGGAGCTGGCCAGCTTGTTCTGGTGCCTCTTCTGGGGAGGCAAACCTCTCCCCCTCCTCACTCGAGGGAATGATCTGGTGGGAAGTCCACAAGTGAAAAGTTATGGTGTTTCCACTCCTGTATGAATGAATAATTAATACAGGGCACAGAATGGCTCTCAGAACAGGGATACATGGCCTTATTTTGCCATTGATGCCAATGGGAGTTGTCTGTGTATTTCTGAGACCAGCACTGGGGCCAAAGTTCATATATTCAGCTAGCAGAAATACACTGGGGTTTGCAAAACAGAGTCAGAAAACTGGAAGCACAAACTGTGCTTGACAGAGCTACAGTCTGATCTGGTACAGCTAATCCTACATTCTATCTGCATATATCAGGGGTTTTATAGCATTTCCAAGTGCTCAGATACTACGGTGAAAGGACAACTTGGATAGCTAGACATACATCACGACTGTGATATATTAGCACTTCCCAGGTAAATTAGATGTGCCTAGTGAGGCCCATAGTCCTGCAAAATTAACAAATCATATAATTACAAGACTGAAAAGGGTCTGGATATTAGCAGAAAATATGTTGTTATCCCTTCTGTTGGATTTAGACTTTAACTACCATTCACCTCTTCCATTCCCTGATTTGTGTGTAGGGTACACCCGGAGAATAATCGCCTACGATACTAAGGCCAACAAGTTTGTTAAGTGTGCAGACATGAAGGACAGACGGATGCATCACGGAGCTGCTGTGATCAAAAACAAGCTATATGTTACCGGAGGGCGCTGTCTGACTGCAGACAATACAATCCAAGACTCTGATTCATTGGACTGCTATGATCCTGAGACTGACACATGGACTTCAAAGGGGAAACTCCCACACAAACTCTTTGACCATGGATGCCTTGCTCTTCAGTGTGTCCCCTATTCCAACCTCCTGTAAAGGAATCTTGTGTTACTCTGGCCCAAAGGGCCCAAATTGCTGGGTACGGTGCATATGGAAAGTACTAGCAACTGTCCCAATCATCTGCCAGTGAAGCAAGCAAAGGAGGCAGTCATCTCCAGGGTGCTGTGTGCAAAAGGCCATGAATTCTCAGATCTATATGTACATACTGCAGCAAAATAGGATGTAATTTGCTGTAAAATACTGGAGTACATACTGTATTGCCAACAGCCCCACCCTGAGGTCCCTACTCAGATTTTATTCAAGCAATTGGAGTAAAAACTGGGCAAGAGCCTCAGGATTTCGCAGAGTATAACGTGTTTTGGAAGATTGATAGAAATGCTGAAGTCTCAGGGGAAACATGTCACAACAAAGTTGCTAACGTATTTATAACACTGCCCTCTACTTGACAGAAACAGGACTCCTCAAGTGTGTGTCGTAGCCCGGATACTAACAGAATTTCTCCTTTAGTTCTGGTGGCAGGGGCTTTAGGAATAGGAGGATCTGAGTTCTATTCCCCCCCCCCCCCCATGAAGTTCTGAGTAGCCATGTGATGCTAAATATCCATGGATTTGCTACAATACTCATCTAGTAACAGGGAAAACCTTTCTGCCATCAGTTAATGCTAAAACAAGGGCTTTGAAAAATGAACAGGTTATATAGGAAGGTAGGGAAGAAATGACTACATTTAATGTTCCACATCACAAATTAGAGAGGAACAAAACCCCAATCCTTGACTCTGAACCCTTTCAAGTGTTGGTGAGATGGAGATTTGAATCCCTAGAGCTGACCACTGTCCTGGTGACTGGAGGCAAGTGGGTCAAGATCTCTTTAAGAATGTTCTCTTCTATCTTCTCCCTTAAGGAACAAGAGAAGGGTTGCCAACCCTCCAGGATTGGCCTGGAGTCTCCCAGAATTGGCATTGATCTCCTGGTGACTATTGACAGCAATCCAGGAGATTTTAATAGTATATTTTAAGAAAATCACATTATGTCATGTTGGGGGAAAATTATCTCCCGGAATAGCTTCAGTCAGAGTTGGCAACCCTAGAAGAGAAGAAGGAAATGAAGAGAGGGGCACAAGAAGCCCAAAAGTTGTCTACTTGTTTCTTCTTTTTGGAGAGGAGAAGAGAAAGCTTCCAGTCCTCTCTCTACGTCAGGGATTACAATGAAGTCAGACATAGAGGTTGGCTAGGAAGCTGCTAAACCACAGGAACTCCTGTACAGCTGGAAAAACGGGGGTAACAGATGCAGGACAGTGGATCCAGAAGAGAAGATATATTTGCAGGGAGCTACTCTCTTCCCCTTGCAAACACAGCCAGCCAGCTAGCCGGCCGGGGAGGGATAGCTCAGTGGTTTGAGCATTGGCCTGCTAAACCCAGGGTTGTGAGTTCAATCCTTGAGGGAGCCACTTAGGGATCTGGGGCAAAATCAGTATTTGTGCCTGCCTAGTGAAGGCAGGGGGCTGGACTCAATGACCTTTCAAGGTCCCTTCCAGTTCTAGGAGATAGGATATCTGATAGTGAAGATGTCCTGGACTCTCAGCACAGACTGTTGAGACAGTGATGGGTTTTCATGGCAGTTGGTGATCAGCATCTAGGGAAAGGATGTCTGATACGCAATACTGTGCTCATTGTAACAAGGCCTTTACAGGAGTGCAGACAAGTATGAGGAACTGATGGGCTAATGGAAAGTAGTTGAATCAGAGGGGGAAATTACATTTCAAGTGGCTAGTTTTAATGCTGCAACAGAAAATTGTTCCCTATAAAGCAAATGGTGATGTGATTTTGCTACTTGTGGTTTTTGCCAGCTCTTTCCTTCTGGGAATCTGAGTAAACCTACAAAAGAGGAAATGGGGATGAACACAGGTTCCACCTAGGGTGACCAGATAGCAAAGGTCAAAAATCGGGACAGGAGGTGGGGGGTAATTGGCACCTATATAAGACAAAGCCCCAAATATCAGGAATGTCCCTATAAAATCAGGGCATCTGGTCAACCTAATTCCACCCTTCAGCTCCTAAACTTTCCACCAAGGGCCTGCCAAGTCCGCATTTTCCCCATGGAATTGGGCTACTTGTGAATGCCAGTTGCGGTATTTTTTTTGAGCAGTCAGGGGTTGTGGAACTTCCCAAAATACCGCAACCCACAACTGCTCAAAAAATACCACAACTGGCATTCACAACACAAGTAGCCCATGTACCCCCCTGCAAATGCCACATGCGGGGCGGAGGCAGACCCGGTCCTCCGTTCACGTTCTGGACGCTGAGCTCTCTCCACACCCCAATTGGTCCCTCCTCTTCATCTGTAGCTGGTGGATCCCACCTGCCCTGGCCTGGCCTGCCAGGTAAGCAGAGCTGCCAAGCGCCTCTCAGCCAGGCCGCCTGCCCCACTGCAGGGCCTCAGAGCCTGGCCAGGAGGGGTGACAAGGCCAGGCCCTGGCTCCCTGCCCTGGGAAAGGAGAGAGGCCCATAGGGAGGCTGACTGACAGGCTGGCGCTGCATCCTGGGTCTGTGCCACTCACCCTGCCACCATGACATAGAGTGCAACACTGTCCCCAAACTTGAGTGTGAGGTACCACAGGTACCTTTTCCAGCATCCCCTATATACCCCTACCAGTACACACACACACAAACACCTATCCCACATCCCCCCAAATACCCACTGCAGTACCCCCCATATACCACTCCCAGTACAGACACACCCATCCAGCATCCCCAACTATCCCTCTCAGTACACCCTCCAGCATCTCCAAATACCCCCTCCAGCACCCCCCATATACCCCTCCCAGTACACACACCCCCATCCCCCACACACCCCAAATACTCCCTCCCAGTACATACACACACCGCCCCAGCACACACACCCCGAATACTCCCTCCCAGTACACCCTCCAGCACCTCCAAATACCCCCTGCAGTACCCCCATATACCCCCCCAGTACAGACACACCCATCCAGCATCTCCCCAACTATCCCACCTAGTAAACCCTCCAGCACCTCCAAATACCCCCTCCAGCACCCCCCCCAATACTCCCTCACGGTATACACACACCCCCTCCAGCACCCCCCAGTATTTCCTCCCACTACCCATGCACCCCTCCAGCACCTCCAAATACCCACTCCAGTACTCCCCAAATGCCCCACCAGTACACACATGCCCCTCTAGCACCACCCCAAATACTCCCTCCCAGTACACACACACCCCTCCAGCAACTCCAAATGCCCCTCCGAGTACACACATACACACACACCCCTACAGCATCCCTCCCAACACCCCCTCCAGCACTCCCCAAATACCCCCTCCCATGACATACACACCCTTCCAGCACCTACCAGCATCGGGGTTTTGATTTTGAATTTGATTGTCATCTCACAGCTTTGTTGCTGATGTGGACAAACCCCTGCTGGGGCTTGTAGCTTTTTTAAAAAAATCAAATCTGTACTAGGTAACTAAGGAAAGCTTTTGTTTGTTATTTGATGTATAGACCAATGTGTTAATCAAAAAAAAACCTTTGTTTCAATAAAATGCATTGGGTTACTTTTGGGCTAGTTTTTAATTGATTTGGGGCTATTAATGGAGTAAAAATCTGGCGACCCTTTTCTCTACTGTCTTACAATATGTGCAGTTGTCAACATCTGTGCAAAGTAGGGGCCAAACATGGGACTTGCCAAACCAGATCAGACCAGAGATCCATCTAGTTCAGCATCTGGTCTCCTACAACGGCCAGCACCAGACACTTCTAAAGGCAAAAGAATCCCTGTACTGAACAATTTGGAATAATCCTCCTAGCCCACAAATAATTGGTTTATGCTTTGAAGTGTGAGGATTTTCTTGAACCTACATAAAGTAGCTGTCAATGATCTCATAATCCATATAAGGGTCTGGCTGCGCCTGGCTCATATGCAGAGGGCAGGGGCAGAACACATCAGGCTTAGCCCTGTAGCACTCAGTGGACTTCAGGGCCTGCTTTCTCCAGGGTGCACAACGATCCCTCTTTCTCCCCTGTACCGCCAAGTGAGGACAGTGACAATCTAGTCCTGACTGACTGTGGGCCTGCCCTTTTAGTCCTCCTGCGCACACACTCCAAATCTGCTGCCCATCACACAAGGAATGCAGGATTGGGCCCTATGTAGGTGCAAAAACAGACACACAACGTTTCAACGTTGCGGAATACTCCAGATTCTCTGTCAAGTTAAGTCCTGCAGAGAGAGGGTATGTGCTCTGTCTAACGTGGCTTTGAGCCATTCCTGTATCTCACAGTACGGATGGTGATCGAGTACGAGAGATTTCAACCCAAAGGATACAAAAACTTTCAAAAAATGCCTGAAACTGTTTACAGAACCTGAACTTAAGCAGAGCAACCACCCTACTAACCAGGGCCTGGTTGCGCAGTCCTTACTCCTGGGTGTCAATGGCAAACTTTCTTGAATAAGAACTGCAAGGCTGGTTTTACTGTCAGCATTGTTATGGAGTCATTACCTCCATTTCTAAAGTGCCCATCACTGTAGTGTTGGGACACTCATACTAATACTCCTCGCTTATGCCGTGTTTTCCATTTGAGGATTACAAGGTGCTTTACAAATATGAAGGAAGCATCACAGCACTCTGTGGAGGTATTTCCTGCTATCACTGAGACACAGAGGGGTTAAGAAGACCTTGTGACGGAGTAGGAAGCAGGGAGTATTAACCTGGTCATGTTGCAGGGGAGTTTTACTAGTTTACTGACTTCTGCTAACCCGGGGCGTGCCTGCGTTTCCCTGGGGTACTGCACCAACACTAGATGGTGATGGGAAATAAGGGTGTGACTTCACTGAGGGATGATTCTTGACTGCCAGCACTTAAACAATGGCGGCTGCCCTTCGTAACCTGAGCCCAGGAGGTGGTTGGGGCCAGGTGACACCTTCTGCCCGGGAAACTGGTCAAAGGCTGGAAGAGGAGCCGGGGGTGTGGCTGTGGCTGTGTGAGGCAGCAGGAAGGGGTGTCAGTTTGGAGCTGGCTGGGGAGACGGGGGGAGGCCCAGAACCTGGATCTGGGCTCCCCTCCCCCCAAGAGGGACCTGAATGAGGAGTCCTGTTTTCTGTACCTACAAGCTCTGTTTTAGACTGTGTTCCTGTCTTCTAATAAACCTTCTATTTTACTGGCTGGCTGAGAGTCACAGTGAATTGCAGGAAGTGGGGGGTGCAGGGCCCTGACTCCCTCACACTCCATGACAGACCTACATTTCCAAAGGCATCCATTAATTTTGAGCTTGATTTCCTGCTGTTCCCACTGAAGTCAGTTGGAGTTGAGAGTGCTCAGCATTTCCAATGCTTCATTTTCAGGTGTCCCAAGTTGGGCACCAAATATGCAGGTACTCAGCATTCTTACCATTCTTACATTCTTACCAATTTAGCCTCCATAACTTGCCCAGGATCACAGGGGAAGTCTGTGGCAGATCCAGAAAAAGAACTCACGTCTCCCAATCCTATGTCTTAACCACATGACTACCCTTCCTTCCTATGTACCAAGGACCTGACCCAAAGACCACAGAAGTCAATGACAGTCTCTCTATAGACTTTAACAATGAACTTTGGATCAGGCCCCAGCTGCTGACTACTTAGCATGGGTTGTCTCTAATCCTGCTGTTTATAACAGCAAATGTTTAGCATTTGAGTAAGGGAAAAATTTCTGACAAAAAAAACCCCCAAAACTTTCTGTGTCGCTCTCTCAAATGAGAAAGGAGATAAAGTTTCCTCTTAAACTTCCTTCTGTTTTGGTCACTGCAAATTTAAAGCTATGTATCGCTGCATGGACAGTTTGTGTTATTAAGAGATTTTACTTTGATCTTAAAGGCCTTTGTAGGTTAAGCCTGTATTTTTTCATTGCAGCCATTAATCAAACAATATAATCAGTTCCAAGGGCAGTGTTTTTCTTGTGTAGTAATGTGCTTA